ACATACAAAGAGAATACAAAAGTAAATATTAGGGAAATTAGGGAAGGAAAAAGGGAAATAGATAGTGGGGGAAAGCAAGGGGGAAAAATAGACATAGACTTCCGACTCCTTTGGTGCAGTATAATAAAGCATTAACATCTACCCTCAACGTTTTACTTTTTCATAATAATAGAAACTGGCCATTTCTACAACAACAAATCTATCTAATCGGTAAAACTGAAAATCAAAATTTCATTTTTTTCCACCTCAAGCACAAAGTCCAGAAGTGTTTTCCAAGTAGAAGTAAAGGTATTCTTGTGTGTTTTTTCTTTAATCAAAACAGTGCCAATTTGAAAACTTGATGTGCGGTACTGCTTAGAGAAAAACCAAACTATGAATGAGAAAATGTCTCATCAGCACTTTGGGTAATACTCCTCGACTTACAACCATTTGTGTAGTGACCGAACTTCCAACAGCACTGAAATAAGTGAATTATGATCGTTCTTTCCACAAATAAATAAAATTTGCATTATTTTTTCACATAGATGTATAGATAGATAGATACTGGTAGATAGACAGAGATAAATAGACAGACAAATATGCTAGGTAGGTAGTTAAGTAGGTAGATAGACAGGTAGACAGACACAGAGGTAGGCAGACAGACAGACAGACAGTACCAATACTTACATATTAGCATCTGCTATTAGTGTATATCAGTGGAAGGAACCAAAATACCTCAATGCTAACACACAGAAGTCCAAATACCAATGATGTGTCAGTGTGTACTGGCCAACCCTTCACACAGTTACTTATATTTTATTCAGGCATACTCATATTCCTGAGTATGTAGGTAATGTAATGTAGGTAGGTAGGTCGACAGACAGACAGATTCTTTACAAGAAATTTTTACTTAAAATTAATGTGTTGTTTATAACAAGCAATTGATGTTGTTCAGCCTCCATATAACTTTTCCACACGTAAGAAAAACTTGCCATTCTCTTTTTTAAATAGATGTAGATAGATGATAGATACATGATATAGGTAGGTAGGTAGGTAGAGGTAGGTAGGTAGGTAGATAGATAGATAGATAGATAGATAGATAGATAGATAGATAGATAGATAGATAGACAGATGATAGATAAATTGATAGATAGATAGATAGATAGATAGATAGATAGATAGATAGATAGAT